CCAGGTCAAAAGATACTAAATAGAGAAACTGTTGTTTTTATTGTTTATTTTCACTGCTGACCTTCATAGCTGAGCTACATTCCTAGCTGTATTTCCTTTTTTTTTTTTTTTTTTTTTAACGTATTAATATATAGGGCCTCACTCCACATATAGTACTCGTAATGATCCTCCTGTTTTCAGCCTCCCAAGCACTGTGATTACTAGTGTGTGCCATCACGCCCAGTCTCAATTGCCATCTCAGTGCACCCTGGGAGTAGGGCTCATTTTTTAAATTTTGAGACAGAGTCTCTAAGTTGTCCTGGCTGGCCTCAAACTTTGAGTCCTCTTACTTTTGTTTCTTTCCTTTCCTTTCCTTTGTTTTGCTTTGTTTTGCTTTGTTTTGTTGTACTGGGAATCAGACTCGGAGACCTTGCGCTTGCCATGTACTGGCACTTGTGTCCCCGGCCCATGAGTCTTCTTACTTACTATCCCAGAATACTGAGATTACAGGTGTTGGTGACCATGCCCAACTGAGAAGCTCTGGTTTTTAAGTCATTTGTTCTCAATATTTAAAAGCTATTCTGGGGAGGAGTTGATATATACAACTTGAAATGAAATTGCTCCTTAAATTAGACCCTCACAGTTTCTTTTTTTTTTTTTTTAATTTTATTTATTTGTGTGTGTGTGTGGCCAGCTCAGCCCACCAGGGGGTGGGGCTGGCTGGCATGTGGTGCTGGGGATTGAACCGCGGTCCCTCTGCTTTGCCAAGCTTGTTCCAAGTAGGTGCTTTAGACCCCTGAGCCATCTCACCAGCCCGACCCTCACAGTTTCACCTTAATGTGAGCTAAATTTCTGGAATATGAAAGGACTTATGGCAAATATTTTAAAGTTTCCATGCCCTTTTTTATTTTTATTATCATTCTTATTTTTTAATGTGTTTGGTTGTTGCAGGGTCTCACTCCTGGTGATCCTTTTAGCTTCCCCAATGCTGACATTACAGATGTGTGCCACCATGCCTGGACTCTGGCTGGCTCAGCCCACCATGGAGGCAGTACTGGCATGGCATATGGTGCTGGGGATCGAACCTCGGTTCCTGCATTTGCCTAGGCAGGCGTTTTAGTCACCTGAGCTATCTTGCTGGCCTCTCTATGCCCTTTCTCATCTGGAGTTATGGAAATCAAAATTTCTTCATACTAGTTGGGAGCAGTGGCTTCTGTGGTACTAGCTCTTTGGGAAGCTGAGTTTGGGAGAATTGTGGTTTTGAGGCCAGTGTCGCATCACTTTCATTTCAGAAGCAAAGCAAATCATAAACTTTTTTTTTTCCATAAACTTTTTTAACCTAAAAAACACCCAAAACTTTCTTAACCTGATTATAAGAGTCCATATGTACAAGTAATGCTTTATTTGTCCTTTCATTGTAGATTTTATTTCTGGGGAAAATGAATACATGTTGGGAAACTATCATACACTTCTCTTTCTCAGCTCAAAAATATATTTTTAATGTTTTTTTATCATTTTGATAGGAGAATCTTACCCTAGAAAAAATAAAGTAATAACAGCAAGCACAATTACAGTGTATTAGGGCTGGCCAGGTAGCTCAGCGGCTTAAAGCACTTGCTAGGGGCCAGGGAGATGGCTCAGTAGAATAAGTGCTTCCCTGGCAAGCGCAAGGGCCTGAATTCAATCCCCAGTTCCACAAAAAAAAAAAAAAAAAAAAAAAACGAGTACCTGCTTAGGCAGATACAGGGACCGGGGTCGATCCCTGGTTTGCCTTGCTGGCCCTGCCTACAGGGGCACACTGAAACGAGATTGAGACTAGGCATGGTGGCGAGTCTGTAATCTCAAGAGTTTGGGAGGCTGAAAACAAGAGGACCACTAATGAGTCCTATCTGTGTAGTGAGACTCTGTATACCATGTACTAAATACAGTAAAAAACAAAACAAAACAAAACACAGTATCTGTATTTCTTTCGATTTTTGTTTTTGAGGTTTGAGTCCAAGGCCTTGTATATTTTATTTATTTTTTTTCAAACTTTATTTATTTATTTGTTTATTTATTTATTTTGTGTGTGTGTGGCCAGCTCAGCCCACCAGGGGGCGGGGCTGGCTGGCATGTGGTCCTGGGGGTTTGAACCGCGGTCCCTGTGCTTTGCTTTGCTTTGCTTAGTTTAGCTTAGCTTGTTCTAAGTAGGTGCTTTAGACCACTGAGCCATCTCACCAGCCTGCCTTGTATATTTTAGACAAATGGTTTATTATAAGATAGCTACATCCCTCACCATTTGCATTTCTTCTTTTTATGTATGAAAGACAGCTCTACATAAAATTTTTTTTATCTTTGGTTTTTTGCTTTTGGTTTGTCACCAGGTCAGTTTTGTAGTTGGGACCCTTGGTCCCCAGAATCTGGGACATTGAGCACTGTTAACCCTGGCTTTGGGTGTGGTTATAAAAGAAAGTGTAGTTGTCTTTTCATTATACAGATTGTTGACATTTTCCACTTTATTAATGATTTCAACAAACATTCCTTGGCTTTTTTTTTTTTTTTTTTTTAAATTTGAGACAGGCTCTCACTATGAGGCCCAGGCTCAAAAATGAAGCAATCCTCCTGCCTCAGCCTCCTGAAGTATGTGTCATCATGTCTGCCATTTTTTGGCTTATTTTTACCAAGTTGGTTTACCTTTTTGTCCTTTGCAGGGTTGTTGGGAAAAAGGACATGATCCTTTGTACTGCCAAGGCAGGCATGTGGCACTTACCTAATTGGGCAGCTTAATTTTTTTTTTTCCTCGTCTATTTTGAGACACAGTGTTGCTATGTAATTCAGCCTGGACTTGAGTTCACTTTGTTGCTCAGGCTGGTCTGAACTGAAAATGATGCTCCTACCTCAGTCTCCCAAGTGCTAGGAGTTTAGCTACTTAGAAGTCCTCTAAATAGCCAAAACATAAAAAGGGCTGGGAATAAAGTTCAGTGCAACGACCTTGGGTTCAATCCCCACTAATGGAATAAATAATAAAATATTAGTGTCAGATGTAAAAGGGAAGAGTCTTTTTTTTTTTTTTTTAATTCCATAGTAATTGGATATGGGTTTCATTCCATCATTCACACAGAGGGGTGTAGAGATATGGATAACCAAAAGACAGATTTTGCTTTCACATTCAGATTTTGCTTTTTTAAAAAGCATAATCTTAAAGGGGGGCGGTTTTCTTTTTTAAATCTTTTTGCAAAGACAGGGTTTCGCTATGCAGTTCAGGTTGGCCTTGAGCTTACTTTGTAGCCCAGGCTGCCTTCAAATTTACAGTAGTCCTCCTGCCTCAGCCTTCCAAAAGACATAGGGGTTCCTGAGTTTGTTGCCCTCACATGATGTTTTGCATTCAATTTTCAGTTTACATTTGTTTGATCTAGGTACTTAGTAAATTAAAATTTTTATTTTTTTTCTTTCACATTCAGATTTTGCTTTACAAAAATGTGTTACAGTGTATAAACCCAACTGAAGGGCATGCATGTACTATTTTGGTACTGTTAATCCCTTCTTTGTATGCAATTTATATGAACCATATTTTTCCCAGTTAGTAGTTGTAACTTTTGGTCTGGTCTTTTCTGGAGCTAGATTTGAGTTAATTTCAAACGGTGTTCCCTGATGAATTGTAAGCTATACTCAAAAGATAGATCAGTTAATGTAACAATTAGATACTACCTATTAAAAGCTGTGAGGACAAAAATATAAAAATAAGAACTTCATATGTCTCTATGAAAATATGTAGTTCATGAATTAACTCCATCCTTGCTAGCTTGCATTTTAAGTGTGTCAGGTTCTGTATGTAATAGTGAATGCTTGCATAACTTTGATGTTAAGGCTGTTTATTCACTACTCATATCTGTTTTTCAGCCGTAGTTGTGACATGATGGAACTAAGGCGCCGTTATCAGAATTTATACATACCTAGTGACTTTTTTGATGCTCAGTTTACATGGGTGGATGCTTTCCCTTTGTCAAGACCATTTCAGCTGGGAAATTACTGCAATTTCTATGTAATGCACAGAGAAGTAGAGTCCTTAGAGAAAAACATGGCTGTTCTTGATCCTCCAGATGCTGACCACTTATATAGTGCAAAGGTTTGTATTCCACTGTGATACACAGCTTGCATTTCTTAGAGTTGTTAGAAAATGGCTATTAGATAATAGACCTGAATCTGTTTTTTTTCTTCTTGTCTATTTCTGTTTTGGCTATTTAACCTTTCTATCTTGCTTCATAAACTGTCAATAACGGCTGTTTTAATTTTTTAAATTTATTAAAAACTTGAAATTGATATTAATGAATGTTATGTGACTTCCTGTAGCTTCAGATAAAACTTTATGTTGGGAGAGGGATACACTAGTGAAATGTTAGTCTTCATTGATTGAAAAACATTTCTTGTAAAGTTTAAAGTTCATAGGGTATCTAATAACATTTTTCTTTCTATAGCACTTTACATTCCATTTTTAATAATATCTAATATGTAAGGTTAATTAGTAGTGCTTCTCATTTTCTTTACATTACTTTAGACTTTTGACAGGATTGAATTATTTGACTATAATAGGTAATGCTGATGGCTAGCCCTAGCATGGAAGATTTGTATCATAAATCATGTGCTCTTGCTGAAGACCCACAAGAACTTCGGGATGGATTTCAACATCCTGCTAGACTTGTTAAGGTAAAATGAAATGTTTATTTTAACTTTAGGTGTATAATTTATTTTGTTCTCAGTGTGTGTACATAAAGTTTTAAGATAACATTTTTAACCATGTCCATTTAATAATTTTACTGTTTTTTATATGCTTACAGTTTCAATAATGCAGATGTTTTTCTCATTGCAGATTATCACTATGTCTTGTATATAACTAAATCAACTGTCAGTTTGATGTGTTAAATTTGTAGCATGGTAAAAATGTTAGTGGTGATGGGATATAGAGTGTCTGGATGCTATTAAAGTTTGAATTATTAGTTTATTTCTTTAAAAGAACTCTTTTTGAAGAAATATTTTAGAGGGATGAGTTATGATGTGTAAATCCTATTCCATTGCTGAAATGCAGTGTGGAACATGATGATGAACTGAACTCTTCCTTGACTGACAGATTCGAGAGGTAGTAAAAATGGTACTGGAAAGGTTTGTACCTTTCCCTTTCAAGTGTTTATTTGTAATTTAAACAGTTACATGATATATGGAAATGATTCTTTGTTTTGAATTAGTTTTTAGTGGGCATGAAAGGCAAGGATGAAGCCATGGCCATTGGAGGCCACTGGTCTCCTTCGCTGGATGGACCAGACCCAGAAAAAGACCCCTCTGTGTTGATTAAGACAGCTATTCGTTGTTGTAAGGCTCTGACAGGCATTGATCTAAGTGTATGCACACAATGGTAAGCACCAATTTGTTTCTTGTTTAGAACTTTTTTAATAGGTCATATAGCTATTCTTGTCAATCAGTCCTTTCCCCTTACTTACCAACCCTGGTTGTGCAATGCAAGTAACTCAAAGGAAAATCCCCATTTGTAGCAAAAGTTTATTTGGTGTCCAGATTGTTTTGGAAAAGAAAAGGATAAAGAACTAATCAAAACAAATTGAAAACTTAAATGTTTTGTTATGCTGTACTTTGAAACTTGGATGTATGTTGAAAATACTTTTCATTTCATGTATAGCTGGAGAAGATCGTCAAGAGAGAACTTCATTTCATTGTAAATCTGTTGTTATCAAATGTAGTTGCTGATTATTTTCGTTCAGCCATATTTTCTCTTGAGGCTTATTTGTTCTATGCATTTTAGTATACAGTATTTCTTGTGACTTAATGGAGAATATTCTTTTTTAGCACATGAAATCTGAACAGCTATCCACCTTCTCCAGGTATTCACTAAAACATGGGTAGCTCTGTAATCAAACTTGAAGATGCTTTGTGTGGGAACATACTCCTTTAACAAACAACAAATATAATATTCTACGAGTGTACCAAGAGAGGAACTATGGCTTCTATATAATTTTTTTTTTTTTTCTTTAAACCAACCTCAAGTTCTTGCAGCAAAATTTCTTTACTTGATGTGCTACAAGTGAACTAGGGTCTTTTAAATGTATTTTAGAATTTTTTTTCCAACATGCTTCTTCCCTTGCAACAGGTACCGTTTTGCAGAGATTCGCTACCATCGCCCTGAGGAGACCCACAAGGGGCGTACAGTTCCAGCTCATGTGGAGACAGTGGTTTTATTTTTCCCGGATGTTTGGCATTGCCTTCCCACCCGCTCAGAGTGGGAAACCCTCTCCCGAGGATACAAGCAGCAGCTGGTGGAGAAACTTCAGGGTGAACGCAAGGAGGCTGATGGAGAACAGGCACTGAACGCTAATCCCTTTTCTATTCCCGCTTCTCACAGGCACAGGAACACAGGCACAATGCACACCACACACTACACAGCACACACACGGAAGAGCATAGCTGCTCACAGCGACTGGTAACCAGCTTTCAGCAGAGTAGTTGTATTTTCTTCTCTCTTAAAAAAGCCTGTCTATTATGCTGACTTTAAGAGTGCTGAGACCTCAAAGGAAAATAAGGTGTGCTTAAATTGCACAGAGGTTTGTTTTTACCATAGGTCTAGTTGCTGGAATCTGGGACCAGTTGTTGAACAAGATTCAGTATTAAGCCATTGAAACATTTTCTCAAATTTAAAGAATTTTCTCTTTCATGGTCATCAGTTCTAGTCATGGATATTTGAAATTGGACAACCACAAGTCTGAGAGATTGGAAATTTCAGGCTATGTGGCAACGTCTTTGGTACATTCAAAGGTCTGACTAAATCAGTCTTGGGGTGGCTTGAAAATTGGGGCAAGATCACACACTGTGTGGTTAGTGGAGACCGGCAGTGTTTGTGCATCCCTGATATCCTTTGTGTTGTAATTTATGACCCTTTTGTGTTTCACAGATCTGGCTTTGATTGGCTGATGAGTGTCTTTGTGATCAGTTAAAAGTGGTAGAATGTATGTCTGTGGACTTACCTAAATAATAACTTTAGGAGAAGACAATCTGAAACATTTGTGACCTTGCACAGATCAGCAACAGACTTTTAAAAATAAATTACTTTTATTTAAAGGTTTCAGAATAGTAATTATTATCTTAACTTTATATATTAGGATGAAGAAGAGAAGGATGATGGTGAAGCTAAAGAGATTTCCACACCTACCCATTGGTCTAAGCTGGATCCAAAGACGATGAAGGTAAATCTGAACATTACAGTTTTTAATTTGAAGTCTCAACAGGTATGAATAACACCAGTGAGTGTGAGAGTCATGGTTTTGCAAATAAAAGTCAGTGAAAATGGGCTAGGAATAGAGTTCAGTGGTAGAGTGTTTGTCTAGGATGTACAAAGGCCTGAGTTTAGTTCCTAGAAAAATGTAAAAAAAATGGAGATGATTCACTGATTTTATGATTTGTTGTTTTTTGTTTTGTTACTGGGCATTTAATTAGGCCCTTTGTATCAGGCTACATTCCTAGTCCTTTTTAATTTTCATTTTGAGACAAGGTCTTGCTAAATTGCCTAAGCTGAGCTAAAAAAGTTCTCCTGCCTCAGTGTCCCAGTGTTTGGATTACAGATGTGTGCTACCACACCCAGCTGTATATTATAGTTTTATAAGTATGCATGCATATATGTATACACACATTTAAAATGTGACTTTATAAATCATTTCAATCAGTAGCTATAAAATACCTGCAGTATTATAGTGAAAGTAACATTGTTTTTTATTTGGTGAATTGTACAAGACATCAGGCCTTACGTAGTTTAAATTCAGGGATAAAAGAAGCGTAAGAAAAAGGTAACATAAAAAATAATAGGGTAGAAAAAAAAGGAAAAAAAAAGTTATAGGGCCGGGGATATAGCTCAGTAGAATAACACTTGCCTGGTAAGCGCAAGGTCCTGAATTCTTGAGGCCAGCCCAGGCAGCTGTGATGGTAAAACCTTACGTCCAACATAAAACAAAAACTAACGATTATCACTTGCTTTTTTTTTTCTTTTTTCTTTTTGCGGGACTGGTGATTGAACTCGGGATGTTGCACTTGCCAGGCAAGTGCTTATTCTACTGAACTCTATCTCCCCAGCTCCTATCACTTGCTTTTGCTTTTGTTGGGGTTTTTTTGGTTTTGCTTGCTTTTTAAGATAGGCTCTCTTTGTATTGTTCAGGCCATCCTGAACTCTACTGTGTGACCCACCCAGGCTTGAATTTGTGGATATCCTCCTACCTCTGCCTCCCAAGTACTGGAATCACAGGCTTACACCACCATCCTTAGCTGTAGTAAATTTTTCTATTTTCTTACAACTTTTTTTGTTTTATTTCCCAGGTGAGGCAGTCTCACAGTGTTGCCCTGGCAGTTCTTGGGCACAGGTGATTCTACGAACTCAGATCCAAAGTTGCTGAGGCTGTAGTCCATTCCACCATTATGGGCTGGTTGAACCTTTGAGTCTTTTTATTTTTTGAGAAAGAGTCTTGCTATGTGGTCCAGGCTGGCCTTTATCTCACTGAGTAGCCCAGGCAGGTCTAAACTTGTAGTGGACATCCTACTTTAGCCTCCTAAATCCTGGGATGCCCTGTACTACCACACCTGGCTGTCATTTGAATCTTTCTTTTGATGATATAGCACCTCTTTACTTTTTAAATCGCATATGTGGAAAAAGTTACTGAAGCTTTTTATTAAACATGATCACTTGGGGCCAGGGATATGGCTTAGTAGAATAAGCACTTCCCTGTCAAGTGCAAGGATCTGAGTTCAATCCCTGGTTCTGCAAAAAAAAAAAAAAACAACAACAAAAAAACCAACCCAAAAAAACATGATCACTTGAAATTTTGATAGTTTTATTTCCTTTTTTGTCATATTAGACTGAGACCAGGTCTTATTGCCTGGGTGTGACTTGCACTTGAGATCCTTTTGCCGCAGGTTTTGCTTATTGCTTGAGTAACAGAAACCGAATTTCATTTTCTTTTTTTTACTGGATGTAAGCTTTGTGATGGTTTGATTGATTCTATCATGTTTTATATTCAACTTGGTATCCTAATCTTTTTAGTGAGCAATTAAATTGTATACCATTCCACCTAATTTATGTACTGATTTTTCTTAGGTACTAGTCTTTGTTGAGCATTTAGATTTTGTACTGTTTTGGAGAGAGATCTTTCATAAATAAATATTTTTCCCCCCCTTCTGTTCACAGTATTTATTTTAAGTAGATTGTTAGAAATTAGTTTGTGGGTCAGTGGCTCAGGATGTGCAGTAGTAGCACAATCTGTGTTATGTCCTAAGTTCTACCCACACCAGCAGCATTTAAAAAAAAAAATTACTGGGGCTGGAGAGATGGCTCAGTGGT